GCAAATTTGAGTTGCATTACTGGTGCGGCAGCCGATTTGGGACACAGGGAGTTCCGTCCGCCATTTTGTTTTTGCCGGTTTCATTTCTGAGCACATTGCTGCAGCTGCCTGGTCACCTGACTCGTTACAGGTGCCGCGTGGAGGCTCCTTCTCCGGTCTGACCGGCGATTTGACTTTTAATATAGCAAAAACACCAGATTAGTATGGCAAAGGATCATGGTTTATCAGGTCACCTTCTTACCTGACCTGCAAGGTGCTGGGAGCTGCTAACTCTTGCGCCGCATTCCTGCTTGGCAGGATCTGATCTCAGTGACCTTCTATGTCTCCTGAGCGCTTGGGTCCGCGGTCGGCAACTGTGAAGGTGGTGAATGGAGGTAGTCCCCGCCTGTTTCTGTTAGACTCCAACTTTTCAGCCATGGCAGATCAGATCCCTGAGAACTCAGAGCAGATTGGGCTCTCTTCCAGAGCTTTCTCCAGGCAAGCTGGCAAGTCTGCCCGGAAAGCCATGAGGGGCAGCAAACACTATTCTAGGCCTGGACCCAAACATGGATCAGGCCCGGATAAGGATGCCATACGTGCTTATAGAGAAGCACTTTCCAAGGCTCAGCAGCAGGCCCAAACCTCCCAATCAGTGTCTCCAGTGGAGCCCTCCATGGAGGTTCAACCAGATCAGAGGCAGCCCATCTCTGATAGTGATGAGGAGGGCCAAGAGTTTTCTCCCACTGCTTCCCTTGCCATGGTGACTTCTCCAGGTCCTTCAATGGTTGACCAGGCCGATCTCTTCGCTGTCCTTCAGACCTGGAGGAAGGGCCCACTCCTGTGGGGCCCTTGGCACCCCAGCAGCCGCCCCCCGACCCATTCCAGAAGTTCGACCCATTGAAGACCAAGGTCCCAACCTTTCAGCAGAAATGCAAGAGGTCATTAATGGGGCTATATCCCAGGGCATAGAGGCAGGCATGCTGCAGCAAGGCAAGCACCCGCGCAAGACCCGAAATCTCCAGCCCCAAGATGCTCCCAGAGAAGCACCCTTCATCCAGCCTTCTCAGTCTCCACATTTCTCTCTGGCCAGTGCGGATTCTGACTGGGAGGAAGAGGACATCCTACCTAGGCAGCAACCTGAGTTTTCTGGGGACGAAGGGGTTGCATCCAAAAAGCCTGTCTTTATTTAAGCTTGCCAACTTCAAAACCATCTTGAATAAGGCAAAGGTCTCGATCCACTTGGGGTCTACCCCCTCAGATCAGGCGACTAATGATCCAGATGATCTGTCTAGGGACCTCTTTGAGGAGCCTGTGTCGGCCCAGGAGATAGTGCCAGTCCCCAAGCTCTTTCTGAATGTGGTTCAAAAGCAATGGGCACAACCAGCCACCAGTGCTACTCCCAGTAGCAATGATAAGAGGTTGTACACAGTAGATACCAGTCTGGAGGACTTGCTTAAATTACCTCCCATTGATCCTCCTGTGGCAGCCCTTACCTCATCCTCTGTACTACCTCCCGATTTGCTGGAGGGACTCAAAGCGGAGGACAAGAAAACAGAGAACGCCTGCCACAAAACGCACCAGGCGGCAGTTTGGGCGATTAAAACATCTGCCTCGGTGTCCTTCCTGTCTAGGGCTGCCCTTATCTGGTTGAGACAGTTGCTGACCAAACTTCCGGCCTGATATACCAAATTAAGGGAGGATGTCAATAAGATTATGGCGGCTACTGAGTACACTGCCGACGCCACCCTGAGTGCAGCCAAATTTGCCCCCCGGGCCTTGGCGTCCAATGTCACTACTAGGTGTCTCTTGTGGCTCAAGCACTGGAATGTTAACATGCACTCCAAGTGGAAGCTGTTTAAAGGGGACAAGCTTTTCGGGGAGGTCCTGGACTCAGTCCTAGTAGAAAACAAGGACAAAAAGAAGGTAATGCCATCGGTCATCAAGAAATCTGACTGGAAGGGCTTTAACTCCTATAGGAAGCAGCCCTTTCGGAACGTTGAGCCTTCCTCCAGCTCCGTCTCTTTCCATCAGCCATACTTACAGCAGACTGACCGGTCCCAGAACTGTCAGTCATTTTGCAACAGAGGTCGCCAGCAGAATCCCTCCATGACCCGGATCTATGATACCACCTTGAGGTCGTTTGCTGACTGGTGCACCTCTCACAAGGAATCTGCGACTTCGGCCATGATTCCCATTATCCTGGACTACTTGCAAGATGGCCTTGACAAGGGACTAGCGCCCAACACTACAACATCAGGTGGTCGCAATCTCCACAATATTGGCGCCTGACGACTACTCCTCACTTGGACGTCATCCTACTATCCGTAGTTTTCTGAGAGGCACAACCAATCTGAGGCCCCCAGTGGTCCACAGATATCCTTCATGGGACCTCAACATTGTTCTCCGTGCTCTGATCGCTCCTCCATTTGAACCACTTCATTGGGCCAGCATTAAGCATTTGACCTTTAAGACCGCCTTTTTGATCGCCATGACTTCTGTGCAGCATATCTCAGAGCTGGCAGCCCTATCAGTTTGGGAGGACTTGTGTTTGATACAACAGGACAGGGTGGTCCTTCAACTGGACCCAACGTTCATCCCCAAGAACAACTCCTGGTTCCACCGGGCACAGGAGATCAATCTCCTGGATTTTTGCCTGCATCCCAGGCACCCGAAGGAGAACCATTGGCACATGCTAGATGTCCATAGGATGCTCCGCAGATATGTCAAGCGCACGGCTGTGTTTTGTTGTTCAGAATCGCTCTTTGTTTCTTTCCAACTGGCCTCCCGGGGCGGAAAGTTTCCTCTTCTACTATCAGACGGTGATTGAGACCCTGCATTGTCCTTGCTCATGTTCTGCAGTGCAAACCTGTGCCTAGCCATATCATGGCACATTCTACTAGGAGTGCCGACACCACAGCAGCCTGGGAGACGCAGGCACCGATCAAGGAGATTTGCAGGGCAGCCACTTGGACTTCGTTATCTCCGTTTGTTCGGAATTACAAGTTGGACAAGTTTGCCTCAGGGGAAGGGGCCTTTGGGAGGCGAGTTCTTCAGGGCATTCATAACAGCGGAGAGACTCTGAACGCGACTGCTTCCTGCCCTAGTGACATTTAGCTTGGGTATGTCCCTTGCTTGGACTCTCCAGAGCAGCGCCCTGGAAAATGACCATTGGCTTACCTGAAGGGTCATTTTCAGGGCGCTGCAAAGGAGAGTCCAACCCCATCCTGGGACTGGTTCCACTGGTTTCAGTACAGACATCTACAGTTCCAGTTGGATTTGTTTCTCTGTTGGATATGGGTTTTTTATTTATTGTTGGCCGTCTCAGCGCGTAACAGTTCCACGCCTTCATTGAAAAAATCTGAAGATAGTCAACACCAGAGGCATGGCTTAAAGTTTCAATTCAGTTCTGGGCTTATTGGCTGTATTTAACCCTTGCTTGGACTCTCCTTCACAGCACCCTGAAAACGACCCTTCAGGTAAGCCAATGGTCATTTGCTGCATAGCTTTTTTTGTAGACCCAAATATCTTATCATTCAAGCTAGATTATAAATCTATGTGCTTTGTCCTCCATTAGGACAGGGATACTGACAAAAAGAGAATTGAAGAGCTCTTGGAAGAAAATATGGTGCTAGAAATTGCACAGAAACAAAGTATGAATGAGTCAGTCCACCTCGGCAAGGAACTGGAACAACTGTCAAAGAATACAGATCTCTCAGATAGTAAGTATGACAAATCAGTTTGCTGTTCCTCATGTCATGTCATGCATTTGATTTTTTTTCATTAATTCAGAATTAGTAGGAAAAAGGAAGAATTCCTATAATGAATTTGGGTTCATACATTGCAAAAAAACCAAAAGTAATTTTGTGTTCCAGTCTTATGAGATATTCTTTTCCTTTCTCATTTTTTAAAATGACTCATTTTACTTTATTACGCAGAATAATCTGCGTAATGAGAGCCAGGCTCTCATTAAAGTCCATGTTTATGGATTTAAAAGTGACTGTTTTTAATTAATTGTATAGAATTACATTTTAATAAAATAACACTGGCTAGGGTATACCTTGACCCCCTATTTTTAAATGGATGTTAAATAAATTAAAATTATTTAATATAAATTAAAAGATTTTATTTAAACAAATTAGTCCATTCTGATCAACAGATTAAGAAATAGTTGGAAATGGATCCATGTTTTCAAATGTGTTTATTGTTGGGCATTCTGGATATTGTATTTCAACAGCAAGGAAATCTTTTGTCTTTGAGTTGAATGAATGTGCATCAAGTCGTATCTTGAAACTTGAGAAAGATAACCAGAGCCTGCAAAATATCATCCAGGAGCTCAGAGATGCATCTGTAGTCACTGAAGAGAATAGCCTCAAATTTGTAGAACTGCAAAATGAGAATCAACAGCTTGGCCAAAAGGTAAATAACATAATTTATATTTACAGTCACCCAATCAAGTGTGTTTTGAAGTTATCTACCATAAGAGATAGTGTTGGCTATCAGTTTGGTTGGCTTCCAAAAAAAGGATTGAACAAAGTAGCTGTTGACCTTGAAGGTAGTGTAGCTGCCTCTGAAAGCAGTCTGCTAGGAGACAAATTGTGCTCTTGGTTGGCAATTGTGAGAAAAGATTGTTGACTAGACAGGCCAGAGGTCCTTCATTCTGTCACTTGTTGTACTTTTTACAGTAGTGTTTTTGCGACCTCAGCCTGAAGATGTGTGGACTTCAACTCTCAGAATTCCCCAGCCAGAATTCCCCACTGTGGCTGGGGAAATCTGGGAGTGACATCCACACATCTTCAAGTAGCAAAATTGAGTAACACTGTATTACAGAAACTATTTAGATTTTATTTGGTCCTTTTATAGTTCCTGTTAACTGATTGACAGCATCCTTAGAGGGTAGGAACAAATCTTAACATTTCCTAGACTTGTATTAGTTCTGCATCTGCTCTGCACTGAGAGTATAACCAACTTGCACATTTCTGTATGGTTTATGTAGGGCAATTCTCTATTTTTTTAAAAAAGAACAGGATAGATTGCCTTTACTGTTAGTGTTAGGATTGGCAACCTTTGGATGACTGTAGTTCGGCTGTCCTTGGAGTGTCTACAGTTTTAGGTAGTTCTATGATGTAAAGAAAATAGTACTGCTATTTATAGTACATGTTTTACTAGTGTTCATTGTCATTGTTAGTTTTTTTCATAATGTTGACTATATTTTTCAGCCTAGTGCAGAATGGTAGAAAGAGGACAGATTCATGACATATCACAGAAGGATTTGCTGTATATTTGGCAGTTTTTTATAATCTATTACATAGACAAAAGTAGTAAATGATAGTTGCCCATGCCTCTGAGCTTATCTCATTTCACCCTTCTTAAGATGATGCCCAGATCTTGTGAGCTCAGCATGATTCAGTTCCCTTGTTTGTCCTCTGGCTTGAAACAAAATAGTATTTTCAGAGCCCTGGGATTATAATTGACCAAATGCTGAAAGGTGTTAAGAGGTTGGATGAAAAAATAAATAAAAGAATGCAGAAAGATAAGTAATAATGGCAGCTGCTTGAAAAGGGTAAGGCCATCTGAAGAACAGCTGTTAAAAATAAAAGTCATTGGTTAATGATCTGCTTCATTTTGCATCTGTCTTTGTGGTTGACAAAATAGGCCACATCATCTGACCAAGCTTATTTGGAAGAAGAATTGGGCAAAAAGATGACCAGAAATAAAGTTATAAGCCTGAAAAAGAAATATATATGTATAACCAAGTTTAGTTGTCTACCTGTATCTTCTTAAAATATGAAAGTATTCATTTTCTTATAAAAATATGCAGCTCGGCTGTAGTCAAGGAATTGGGGGGGGGGAAACAATGTAGTTCTATTTTTTAAAAGAATTAAGGAGTGAGAATGGATCAAATTTTAGGTTGGTTAAGCTTCATATCCATTCAGAAATTTTGAAAGTATTTTTTTGAAATTTAGTAAATTTTGAAATTTAGTAGACTTGCTTTTGAGATGTCCTAAAATAGATTAAATAATCTTCAATTTTCANTATAAAGAACAGCTATTAACATGCATTGGTCTTAAAGTGATACATATATACATACACATCCAATTTCGGGGCTGGTACTCTTGATCAGGACAAGAAACCCTTCTTAGTGTATTTAAGGAATTCAAACTTAATGACTGGAGAGATCTGAATCTGCAGATCAATTGGCAATTTCAGGTCATTTATTGCTATGTTAGTTGCGAAGAGTTACTGGGCATGGTAATAACTCACATGTTTCATAATTTCTGGCATACACTTATCTTTGTTTTGTGGGAATGAATAGAGAATGAATTGTGCATACTGAAAATAGCATTAATTCTTAGTCTTGCTCTCCTTACGGTGCTTCCTTTTTTGTTAATAAGTCATTTCAAAAGTTTGCTGTACTGATTTTACTTTATTCAGAATATTACCCTCATGGCAGATGCTCGGTCTGCTCGGGCCTACAGGGATGAGTTAGATTCCTTAAGAGAGAAAGCAAACAGAGTGGAGAGACTTGAGATGGAGCTGGTCCGGTGTAAAGAAAAGCTTCACGATGTTGATTTCTACAAAGCACGGATGGAGGCAAGTTGGGTTATAGCAAGAATGGATATTTTGGTATTTGCTAATTTAATCTGATGTATATTATATTATATACTGCAATTGTTTAGATTGACACTTGCTACCTAATGGTGTCATACAATGATAACAACATAATTCTTATAAGAACTAGCAGCCTTTGGACATTTTGATGGCCACGGTCCCATATAAAAGGTGGTTATGAACTATCTTTTCTCTTACTGAAGACAATTTCTAACACTACCTGTGAGCTGGTCACCTTATATTCTTAATTATATCCTGTCCTGGATAAAGTTTTTGGAAACCTGAAAGGGAACATATCAATCCATCCCTGTCTGCCAGCCTACAAATATAACTCCACCTGTAGCTTTCTCCTTTCTGTAGCAGAAGACACTGGTAGAGGAGTATGACTACAATTAACACTCCAGCCCTGGTTATTTAAAACTGCAGTGTAATGACACTCTTCCCCTCTAGCAAAAGACCTGGCCATAGGTGACAGCTCACTGTTAGATTTGGAATCTGTGCTTGGTTTAAGTCAAGATGGTTAAGGATTCTGGTAATCAACAGCATGCTCATGCATCCCACCTGATCATTCCCCTGGGCTGTAGAGTGCCTAGTTTCTCCTGGAAATACTCATATTCATATTCTGGTATGTCACTTTTCTAGGAAATCAACCTCCATACGCTAACTCCAAAATCTGCTCTCAGATTCTCATTTTTGAAGAAGTGTCAGATCAGAAGTTCAGATCTGAGTGTAATGCTCTACATTAGGGGTGTCAAACTCAAGGCCNGTTATAAGCCTGAAAAAGAAATATATATGTATAACCAAGTTTAGTTGTCTACCTGTATCTTCTTAAAATATGAAAGTATTCATTTTCTTATAAAAATATGCAGCTCGGCTGTAGTCAAGGAATTGGGGGGGGGGAAACAATGTAGTTCTATTTTTTAAAAGAATTAAGGAGTGAGAATGGATCAAATTTTAGGTTGGTTAAGCTTCATATCCATTCAGAAATTTTGAAAGTATTTTTTTGAAATTTAGTAAATTTTGAAATTTAGTAGACTTGCTTTTGAGATGTCCTAAAATAGATTAAATAATCTTCAATTTTCAATCATCTGAGCAAGCCTTAAACACGTGAGTTATATTTTTTAAATTTCATGTATTAAATGAAATTGTAACATTTCATCCTGACAGTCTCTGAGTGGAAAGAAGCAGATTTAATTAGATCTTCCCCTTTCATTTCTTGTCCTCTGACAAGACAATCCTACAAGTTGAATTTACTGCCACAAATGATTGCTATTCCAATCTTCAGTAAATATCCTCTTGTAAAGCATGTGGCAATTATAGGCTTCTTACAGTTAAATGTTCTTATCATATTGGATGAGCCCCTTATTTAAACATATTGGATGAGCCCCTTATCTAAACTTTCCTGTCATGTAAAGTGTGTTCTTGATCCTCCAGCCTTCATCCTTTTCTAAATCATCCATATACTTCTTAGTTCCAGTAACTTTTAGTTTTTGGATATATTGCCAATTCATTCAGAAATCAGAGCTCAACTGCCCCAGCACTCTCATGGCCAATTAATTTTTTATATGCCAATAATAGCTTCAATAGGCTTGGTGAATGTTGGATGCTCAGCCAAGACTGGATATTCTTTTATGCAATTAGAACTTATGAAGTGTTACCTCACACATATGCAGACGTTTTGTGTTACATTCCTTGTGTACCATTGAATTCATGGTAGTCATGTTTACATAACCTGCAGACTACCTACATTTGGTACTTTGGGCAAAGGGAAGGAGGTAGAAATAGTCATTTTTGTACCATCCAAGAGCAGTGTTGTTGTAGGTATTCATCCAAACATGTAGCTAATATATTTTAGAAATACCATCTCCTCCCATTAAGTAGCTGCTATGTTGTCTTTGATTCATTGCCACATCTAAAGAAGGTGGAAGCCAACATATTTTATTTCTGTTGCCTTATACTGTTTTGGCAAACATATTGATAAAGATTAAAATACTTAATTTCTCAAAATGTCCTTCTATGTGCACAGTGTTTCTTCTTACATAAAACCTTTCTTATCCAGATTGAGAAGCTGCAAAATCAGATAGAAAAGGAGAAACAAAGTAACCAAGACTTGGAGGCTTTAAGTGAAGAACTCTTGAAAGAAAAGCAAGATCTTAAGAACACAATGGAGGCTTTAAAAGCTGACCAAGAAAGACAGGTAGAGATGTGGGTTTTGCTGAAGTTATTTCTAAAATAACTTCAGTTGGGTGTTAGAAAATTGTTGGCATACATATATATAACAAGAGGAGAAACATGTTTTTGCTGAATTCAAGAACTGAGCATACTCAAAATAGAAAGCAGTTTATCCCTTTATTTTCATACTTATATTTAAATTGGTTGAAATGTTGACTTCTCCAGGAACTGTTTTTCTGGTTGAGTCACCTCAGTATAATGATTTAGAATGATGGTTAAGAGATGTCACATCAGCTGACATTTTAAAGGTGTAATTGAGTTGCATGAAGTGACATTGCTGCATAAATACGCCTTCCAGAGTATCATTTGATGAATTGTATCTGTTTGAAATAATGCTTGGTTGTTCAACTGAATCATCTTATTCTTTTTCTCTTGAATTTTGGATTGAGTCTAATTCTTGGTGTTAGCAACCCCAAATGGCCTTCAGCCATTCCTCTAACATTTGTGCTATTGTCTTGGATAAAGACAAATTTCATATGACTCATTGTGTTAAATGTCATTTAAAAAATAGAGTAAAAGCATGAATCCAACACCTTTTTTTCTCATACAGTTTAATATAAAACAGTCAATTTCATTTTATTAATCCAGATTTTCTTTTATCTAATATGAAATCTACAAGAGTGCATATTTGGTATATAAAGGATGAAATTTTTTTGTTCTGACTAGATACAAGACCTAGAAAAAGAAACTGATCACCTGAATCAAGTGGTTTTCTCTCTAAGACAGAGATCTCAAGTCAGTACAGAGGCCAAAGTGAAAAACATTGAAATGGAAAACAAAATGCTTCACGAGGCAGTTAGTGAGAGCAACAGCAAGCTCAGTAAACTTGAATTTGAAAAAAAGCAGTTGCAAAAAGATTTTGAGCAAGTTAAAGAAAAAGTAGAAAGAGTAGAAGAAATGGATAAAGAGCTTCATCGGCTAGAAAAAGTGAATGACCAGCTTGCCAAAAAAGTTGCAGTCATGAAAATTACCACTGAGAAAGTAGAAGTACTTGAACAAGAAAACAAGGATCTGGAAGTAGAAAACAGAAAGCTGAAAAAGTCTCTAGATACTTTGCACAATGTTTCTATTCAGCTGGAAAATTTAGAAAAGAATAATAAACAACTAGATGACAAAAACCTGGAGCTCAGGCAAATTGTAGAAACTATGAGATTCACCAGTACAAAATTAGCCCAGATAGAGGCAGAAAACAAAGAGCTAGAAAAGGAAAAGGAAGAACTTCAAAAAAACATAGTCATGCTGAAAGTCCTGCTCAAGAAATCAGAAAGGTTGGAGCTGAGTTACCAGAGTATGAATGCTGAGAATCAAAAACTGCAGCAAATTCTAGAAAGTAACAATAAAAATGTTCAACTGTTGGAAAAAGAACTCCAGCGTGTTGAAGATGACAATCAAAGTCTTCAGAGAAAATTGGAAGAACTGAAGATCTCAAGTAAGCAGGTGGAATGGTTGGAAAAAGAGAAGAAATTGTTGGAGCAGGAAGTATTTCAATTGGATAAAGACAAAAAGATGTTGGAAAAAGAGACAAAGAGACTGTGGCAGCAAGTAGAGCTAAAAGATGCTAACTTGGATGAGAATACTATAAAATTAACAGCAATTGAAAAGGAATACAAGATTTTAGAAAGAGAACTTGCTAGAGTCAGTGCTTCATCAAATAAGATGAAGGAATTTGAAAAGAACAATAAAGATCTACAGAAGCAAGTTACTATTGACAAGAGAACTCTAGATACGTTAAGAGAGGTAAGCATAATTTCACTGCCTACCATCTAACGAGGAAATAGAAAATCAGGATGCAGTGATTAAAAGCTTTACAACTTCCTTAGAAATAGGGAATAATGAATTGTAGGCACTCATCACAGTCATTGATTTTATAATTCATGGAAGCCAATTGTTGATTCACATACAACACAATTTAGATTTATCTTACACTAAAGTTCAGTTTACTTTATCATGCTGTAGTATGTGCAAGCCTTTTGCAAATTCATGGAGACTCTTTGTATGGTGGGACAATATTAGTATTTTTATGAACTATGGTATTTCAAATAGGGGAGATTATTACCTTATACAATCAAGTTAATTTTAACATATTCAGATATTCCATAACTGATGACACTTCCCTTTATATGAGAAATTGCAATAGATTTCCTCATTTAATCATTGCTTGGCATAGAGTAACTACTTTATTTTAGGAAAAAATCGTAAGTATTGTATAGAAGCTGAGAGACAATCATTCGAATTATGGAAGAGCATGTTCCAAAAAAAGCTATTATTGCTCTTCAGGTATGTTGAGCTATAACTGTTTTAGTTGCTCACTGTTTGTGAGAAGTGAAGTCCAGTAGTTTTGAAAAGTACCAAATGTCTATAGACAATGTCTGATTAAAACCATTGTGCAAGTAAGATTTCAGCTACATCTAAAACCTTGTTTAAAACATTTTGATTTATGTTTCTTCACAGTAAAATTGTGTACACGTTCACCACATTTTTTCCCCTAGCAGCCTTGGAAATTATTTGTTTTGTCATTATTGTTCTTATTTACAGGATTTAGTTCTTGAGAAGTTGAAAAGCCAAAAGTTATCTAGTGAGATGGATAAATTGGACATGGAACTAGAGAAGATGGGACTAAATAAGGAGCTGCTTCTGCAGGATGATAATGGCAACAGTGATAAGTGAGAAGATAGTTTGTTTCTGAATCTGTATTTTTCTGTATTTTAACTTCTGTTCCTTTAGTCTCCTTCACGTTTTAGGCATATGTGCTTCTTTGCCATTGGAAGTTGTAGTTGTCAGGTAGCTGGAAGAAAGTCCCCAATCTAATCTAAATCTTTTAAACAGGTGGTTTTCTTATTTAAACAAATGGCTTACAATTGGCAACAAAACTACTAGTTGTAAAAATTTGTTAATTAGTAAGTTTCTGTAGAAGCATTCTTTCTTCCAATCACTGCTTGAAAGAGTATGAAAGCTTCTTTAGATAAAGGATTGCAGTTACTTTGTGGATAGTGGTCCAGATACCACATTACAACAAGTGGAGGGGCCCAGAATAAAACAAGAGGGACCAGGACAAAAATGAATTTGATAAATGTGGAAATCAATTTACAATCAAATTAGCCAAACACATGTATACTTAATACTTTCCCCTTGTATCAATTAAAAATTCTAATCCTACTGCGACGTTTATGGGTATACTGGAAGTTTCATTCAGGGATTTCTGAAATGACATGACATAATCACTATCAGAGATAATAGTACTTTTCCCCACCCTGGTTTGTCTCTGGGGTAAGCCCCTTTGCATGGGACAAGCTTTACTCCTAATCTAATGTTGCAATTCTATACATTGATCCTATTCGTTGATTTTTCCCAGATGAGAAAATAAAATACTGATATAAAGTAAATTTTAGGCATTCGGCTAATACTTGCAAAACATGGACTTTGTTCTTTCATATATTTTCAGTTACTGACATGCTGTCCTTAACACCCCTCAGGAAATATAAAATCTTGGAAAGCCAAACTGAATGTATTCTAAAGACAACACTAGCTAGTAAAGAAGAGAAAATTGTTGCATTGGAGGCCAAACTACAAGAGTTTGTTAACTTAAACCAACAGTTACAGAACGAACTAAACATGGTAAGACAGAAACCCAGAAATAATGCTCAATAGTAGCAAGTGACCCATGACAGGTCACCTATGAAATAATGCAAACCTTGATATATACAGAAATTCTTCCTCCTGATTGTAAAAAGTGCTTTTGATCCTGTTCTTTCTAATCTATTGATGAAGGTCTGGTTTTTGTTTATGGCTTAGCTCAGGGATGTCAAATTTGATTTCATTGAGGGCTGCATCAGCATTATGTTTGACAGCGGTGGGGTGTGGCTTGGGGCGTGGCCAGCTCAATGTCACTCATGTTGGGGGCACCTGCTTTGGTCCGACTTCTACCAGCGAAAATGGGTTCCCATTTTTGACAGCTCCGTTTTCAGCTGCAATGACCATCTGCAATTCTCTGCCTGCGAAATGGAGTTCAGAAGGGCCACACGCAGCCCTCCTGTGCTCCATTTTCACTGGTAGAGGCACCACACACCAGTTTTTCACTGTTTCCAGAGCAGCCCTGCGGGCCAGATCTAACCAACCCGCAGGCGGGATCCAGCCCCTGGGCCTTGAGTTTGGCATTCTCGGCTTAGATCTCTATGCAGTTTTATTTTACAATTAAAAGGGGTTTCTCCTAAATAATTACCTGTAATTCATCTTACATTTATTGAGAATAGAAGATCCCCTGTTTAAAGTGAAGGAATAATTAGGAGCTGCATGTTATGAAAACAAGTGCCTGAAAACAGGAGAAGCTACTAGCATTGTTTCAAGTTCAATGAAGATGAATATACTAAGCTCTGCTCTCTTATTACCTTCCACATGTAGAAAGTGAATGTTAGCAATGGATATTTTTATTTACTTATGAAACTTCTCATGAATGAAAACAGAATCCTTAACTGAATATTCTTGTAATCCATTATTAGACATTTATTCTTTTTTACCCATGGAGGGAAAAGAAAAGAGAATTGATTAACATATGAATGGGACAGGACTGACATGTTACGGATTCTTACATCCAAACTAAAAACTTCAAATTGATTGAGATTTAGCTACAGAGTAAGCATACATAGAAGATTGCAGTTCAATGAACCAAAGATTATTTGGCTTACCCAGTGTAAGCTGCTCTAACTAAATCCATCTTTGGTACTGCAGTAGTCTAGGCATATTTGCTTGGCAGCATTAACTATTAAAAGTCTTATGCTTACTCAACCCAGAGTTTTATTAATTCTTTGTGAGTGAGTCATTAGTTTGTTTATGAAAATACGATTTCTATATAGAAGCTTACTTAATTTCACTGATGCAAGTGCCTTATTTTATTTGCAGAGAATTTTAATCAATAGTCCTGATTTCTTTTTTCTGGCCTTGCCTAGTTTTGACTGTGGCTCTGGTCAGTGTATATATACGGGTAACACACACAGTTATATATATATATACATATGTGCCCCTTATATAAATGGATAACATGTATGCACTTTTTTTTGGAGACAAAATCTCCAGAATTGATTTCAGTAAACATAGTTGACCATGTAAGGTTTTGGTCTGTATTTGTAAAGTTTNACAGCCAAAAAACAAGCATGCGCGCTCCAGCCAGCTGGTATTCGGGTTTCTGGCGCTTCAGCATGCACAAATGCACACGTTTCAGTTTGGGAACTCAGTGCCGAAAAGGTTCGCCATCATTGGCCTATGTGATTAATATTATGTCACAGGGATGCGGGAGTAGGACAACTTTTTAAAAGAGATCATTGAGGGCTGCCAAAAAGCAATTCTCTACAACTAAAATGTAAGCATACAGTTCATTGTGTACGTTTTAATCTGATGTTTGAGTATGAAAATAGGCGCAAGTCATTGGACTTGTTAAATGAAATGGTGACTGGGAGTAAAGAAGGTTTACTCCCAGTCACCATTGTTGTTAGCACCAATAATGCATGATGATGTTGTCATATATGAGCTTTGATGTATAATTTCTGCTAGGTTGAAGTCATACCACAGTGTATTGTAATACTTATCATTCTTTATCTCAGCAAGCAATGATACCAGGTTCTTTGTGATTGGTTACTAGGTAGGTAGGTGAGGGGAGAGAGGGAGGGAGAGAAAGAAAGAGACAGACAGACAGACAGAAACAATCCTATTTATAGGTATATTTCTCAGACAATATTTGTGTTTAAATTAGATATGGCCTGAGAAGGATTTTTTTATGTTGCTATCAGGGATACTGACTTCTTTTCCTGGAAAAATATTATAGTTCAATTTTAGCATTGTAATGTTTCCTCAGCAAATAACTATACATTTTTAATTTTCTCTTCATTATATATTTTTTTTAACAGTGATAAATTAAATGACTTAAGGAGACACAAAGAAAAATTGGAAGAGAAAATAATGGATCAATACAGGTTTTATGATCCAACCCCAAAAAAGTAAGTTTTATATAGGAAAGCATGTCTTATTAATTATCACATCCAAATGAATTCATAAGATACAAGCCAGAGATGGGTTCCTACCAGTTCACACCGGTTTGGTGGAAGCGGTATTGGAAATGGCAACTGGGTCTCCGAACCGGTAGAGACGGCATGCTCGTCATGCCCGATCACCGCAACATCTTTTTTTGACCTTTTAAAATGTTCTGCGCATGTGCAGACCTATTTATAGGCAAAATTACATGCACACCGAACCAGCAGTAATGCTGGCAGAAACCACCCCTGGTACAAGCTGTACTTCACTCATCACACTTTGACTTAATAAATTTACATATGAATAAACCATGGTGCCCTTTCTGTAAGTGAAAACATGAGGAAGCCTTCCCTTAGCTGGAGGCTTCTGTTTTAGAAAAAAATGATAGATAGTAGACAGTACATTGAATCAGTACTGCAAATTATACATCAAATGAAGATATGATTTTTAAAACCCCAATTTTGGATGTGGCACAATTGCATGTATAAAAATGGTTTCCAATTAGAGTTAAATTCTGCATTGGATTTTCTTTTTAAATACAAAATTAATCTAAGCATCGAAGCTTGCTCACACAGTTTAGTTAACCATACTAAGAGGAAATTAAAGATATTTTCCAATAAAAGACATAAAATCCTTGCAGCCATTAACATACACAATACTAACTCAGTATATTTTGAAGATATATTTGGTTTTAGTGCAATTTAAAGCCGAATATTTCTAGCTCAGTGTTGAAATTAGGGTCGTTGGTGCTCTCTGAGCTTGGTTGTTTTCTTGCACATGTTTCATTACCCAAGTTAGGTATATTTTCTACCAAAAAGTTTTTAAATAGATCTTTTATATGACCACCCCATTTTATGGCCATAATAAAAAAAAGCTCCTTTATAAGCAACAGAATTCAGAAATGTTCCATTTATATCACTTGTTTTAAGTCATAATTAATTAATCTTACTGACTTTCTTGCTGTAGAGTAGCAGTCCCCAACCTTTTTGTGGCTCTGTGGACCGGCCGCAGTAGTGGGGGGGGGATGGTTTTGCATGTACCTGCTGCTGGTGCAAATGGAGCTTTGTATGCTTGCCTACCGCTTGCACCGCCCGGGGGTTGGGGATCCCTGTCGTAGAGAATGAGAAAATTAAATGAAATAATTATTGTTTAAAATATAAGAGGAAAAATACTGCTGTCCTATTAAAAATTTCCAATAATAGGAAAAACCACTGGATAGGAGCTAAAGCCTTGGTTAAATTCATGAAGGCAAAGAAAGAGCCAACGAGAGAACGAATGAAATCTTCAGCAGATAGTTCTCCATCTCAGTTAGAAAGCATGGAGACAGCGGAGTCACAAACTCCATCACAGCTACCCAAGCAACAGAAGAGTCTGGAAACTACTTCCAAAGATTTCAGCTTCGTGGAAGACAAAGAGCATAAAGCAGGACCCATGGTCAAAGGTAGGCATTTCATTTCGTTGGAGAGTGAATTAGCTTTGTAGCACCGTTCTGATTAGTTTTTGCTGACAATATTTTGTTAATCAAGAACATGTTGCGTTTGTAATCCAATTAATAATCACGTCTGTTTGGCACTGATATCTTTTAGGCCTTTTAACAAAATGTGATTAGGTATATAAGTGAAAGAGCTAGCCATAAGTATAGACTTATGGATGGAAACTAATCAAGGAGAGAAGCAGCTAGAACTAAGGAGAAATTTTCTGACAGAACAATTAAATCAGTGGAACAACATGCCTACAGCAGTTGTGAATGCTCCAACACTAGAAGTTTTAAGAGAAGATTGGACAACCATTTGTCTGAAATGGTATATGGTTTCCTGCCTGATCAGGTGGTTGGATTAGAAGACCTCCAAGGTGCCTTCCAACTCTGTTATTCTATTAAGGTGTTTTCCCTTTCCCTTCATTTATTTAGACCAGTGTTTCTCAACCTTGGTCACCTGAAGATGCATGGACTTCAACTCCCAGAGCAGAGCTGGCTAGGGAATTCTGGGAGTTGAAGTCCATGCATCTTCAGGTGACCAAGGTCGAGAAACACTGATTTAGACAGTTGGACTAGGGCAAAGTTGTTGATACCAATCTTGTGCAAATAAAGAAATATTGGCATAGGGTTCCTTGTCAGCTTCAGGTCCAAGCTTGCCACTCTGGAATTAATTCTGAAAATTAAGCAAGCGTTTCTTTCACAAAGACAAATATGTTTGTTTGTTTTTGCAATGCATGCTTATTTTTTTAAGTACAAAGTGCATCATAATTCTCAGCAACAAACAGGACTTTTTTTAATGATGAGTCTCTTGCCTTTAGAGCCCTCTGTATCCTGAAGATTTATTTTTATTATGGTATCATAGATTTACCAAGTTGTTTTTGTTGTTTTGTATATTATTTTTGTGTTCTTTTAAGATTGTAGTGCTGTTCTTAGAATTGTATTTTAATTTTCTGTTTATTTTATCAGTCATGTAGCGCTCTTATAACTAAACTATAACTGAAGCATTGCACTTTTGTTATATGCCATAATGTACGTGCTAATTCTATGTGTTTATCAAATGTTAGTTGCTTTACGCCACCTTAATAGTATAGGTGCATTCTGTTAATAAGATTGGTTTCTAATTGCATTAATGAGTGTTTTTTGCATTATGGAACTTTCCCACAAAGCAGAAACTTTCTGCAGAGTTTGTAACCCGCCTAATTTTTCTGCATTGAAAAGTGTCATCTGACTTGGTGACAGCAGAGGGAGCAAAGAGAAAAGAATCCGCAACACAGATCTAAATATGAAAAATGTGAAGAATCCTTAATAATATATGATATTTTCTTATGTTTTTTTATTGCATAATATGTTTTGGTAAAGAATTGAGTAGATTTTGTTGATAATAATTCATGGGTAATAATTGCTTCAATTCAAAAAATTTCTGGAATATACCTTCCTCTAATTCTTACATTGACTTAAGCACCACAAAACAAGGAAATTATGTTGATTATCCTAATACATGCCCTTGAACTGTAATGATATTGTACAGGTACTGTATTTTCCCCAAAATCTTATTTTCTTTTGACCCCCGAAATAAGCACTTGACCTTATTTTTGGGGAGGTCTTATTAATTTTGAGGTGCAGGAGGTGGCGAGTGTGGTCACCTCATGGTTGCTGCTGTATTGCAATATTTTCAGGGGAGGGCTTATTTTAGTGCATGCGCTCAAAAGCCCAATTGGCCTTATTATCCAGGAAGGTTTTATTTTCAGGAAAACAGGGTAGTCCTTGACTTACGACCACAATTGGGGCCAGAATTTCAGTCATTGAGTGAAGCAGCAATTAAGTGAGATGCCCGTGTGACCGCTTCATTTAGCAAACTACAATCCTCATTCTCCCAGTTGTGATTGTTAAGTGACCACATGGGTCATTAATCAGACAGAGTGAAACAACTGCCTGTGAAATGACAGCAGGCAGCTTCCCTTCATGCTCAGAGAAACAAAACTGGAATCTTCTGATCTTCACTTACCTAGCCTGCTCAGAAGCCTCCCTGCCACCTTGCATGGAAGGAAACTTCTGTGGCAAGCTGAGAAAATGAAGGATCCAAGCTTCATTTCTCCAGTCAAGAAAAGATTTCCACCATCTGTGCAGTCCCTTCTTCGTGAAGTGCTTCAGGGCTTGGTATTCTCTCCCTTCTTATTTATCTTCTACATGAAGCTGTTGGGTGAGGTCCTCTGATGGTTCAGAGTGAAGTATCCTTAGTATGCTGACGATACCCAGCTTTATATCTCCACCCCAGGTCATCTGGATGATGCCATGGAGACTATGAAGGCCTGGATGAGTAAAATAGGCTTCAGCTCAACCCAAGCAAGACTGAGTATCTCTTTTGGATCTTTCATGGGGTCTGGATGGGGTGGCAGTAGCCCCAGGCAGACCCAGTGTGCAAACTGGGCCTCATCCTGGACCTATGGCTCTTGCTCAAAGGCCAGGTAGTGGCCTCGAATAGGAAGACTTTTGCACAGTTTCATGTTATGTGCAAGTTCCACCTGTTTCTGAAATGGGGAAGGGATTGCTCATGGTCACTCATGCCCTCTAACCTCTATGCTGGATTACTGCAAGTGGCTTTATGTGGGGCTGCTCTTAAAGTGTATTCAGAAGTTTCAACTGGTGCAAAATACAGCAACATGGGCAGTTCCGGGTGCCAGTTCCTGGCAGGAAAGGCATCCCCAGGTACCATCAGTTAGGGAGTATTGACCTTTCGAGACCCAGAAGGGGAGAGCCTTTTCTGCCATGGCAGCTTCTCTTTGGAATGTCAATCCATCTCTTAGATAAGTACTGTCGTTATTGGCCTTTTGTAAAGCCTTGAAAACTTACCCTATTTTTGGGGAGTATAAGACACACCAAGATTTTGAAGAGGTAATTTTTTAAAAAAGTTTTTGTACTCTGCAGACCTCCCAAACCCTCTGCATGCTTTTTTGTGAAAAACGTGGCATGCAAAGAGTTTGAGTGGCCTGCAAAGTGCTCCTGGGGCTGGGGGGGGGGGGGCAAAAATGGCCCATTTTTCCTGAAAATGGGCCCATTTTTTGCCCCCCAAAAGGGCATGCATTGCCTTTAGGAGGCTTGTAGACTGCTCCTGGGGGCTGGGGAGGCAAAAACTAGCAAAAATATCACATTTTTCACTTGTTTTTGCCCTCCCCAGCCCCCAGGAGCACTTTGCAGGCCTCCCAAACCCTCTGCAGGTCCATTTTTGTGAAGGGGCGGAGTTTTGGGAGGCCAAAATGCTGTATTCAGTATATAAGACGGACCCTGTTTTTCACCCTTTTTTTTGGAGGAAAAAAGAGCATCGTATACTCCAGGAAATATGGTAACTTTATGTTTGAGCCTGGGGTCCTGACCATGGGTTTGAGCCAGCCTCCTGGTTGTATAGATGATGCCTGTTGCTGTGTGGTTTTATTTTTGTTTTATATTATGTATTTTGTGTTTTTATTTTATTGTAAGCTGCCTTGATTTTTACAAACTCAAATACATATGTTTACCTCATAAAAGAAATTATAATGTATGTTTAACCATAAATACTAGAGCAGCCTTTCTTAACAGTATTGTACCCTGGAGGAACTCTTGAAATACTTTTCAGGCCTCAGAGATCCTCTGCACAAAAATTAATGTATCTACAAGTAACACTGCCTAATGTGCAACCTTCAGAAAATGATCTGGATTTTTTTCCCCAGCCACAATCTATTGTGGAATCACACTTGAGAAAGGCTGTTCTGCTGCCGTTGATAGTTATCTATCTTAATGTGAACATTATCTGGTTAACAATGGCTGTAGAAACGCTTAGTCCTTGTTCATGTTAACAGTTTTCATGGATGTTTGAAATTACATTTTAGTTATTTCTGTTACTTTTTTCTCTCTTTTCTGGGGTCTCTGGGTGATAAAACTTAGCAGCTCAACGTAAAAAGATTGCCTTTTTGAGAACCACAAGCAAACCCAAGGAAAAGTCTCCAAAGTCACCATCGAATAATTCATCTCTCTCTAATCGTCTCCGGTTCTGGTCGTCTTCCGACATCTCATCCTCTCCTAATGAATCATTTTCTTGCTCAGAAACAAAAGATTTCTAACCTCTTATCATTTATTCCGAATGCATTTCCAGTGTTTTATTTTTGAACAAATGAAATCTGTAGCCCTTCTATACACAGTCATAGATGCTCAGCGTATAACTGAGACAGACTAAATCCAAGATCAAATCAAGTCAACACGAAGAACATTTCCCCATCAGTAAAATGAAGGACCTTGTTGCACAATGTGGAATATTTCTTCAGAGCTGTACACTTTAATGGGGCATGACATACTATGCCTATAGTTTTGCAAGTACTTTTGGTGATGGTGCACATGCTGAGTAAGTGAACCTGTTGTGTACTACACTAATGCTTTGCAGATTTGCCCATGTGCCTCGTGTCCTGTCCAGATGTTAAAATAGATTTTTGTTGCTCTGTCACTGGCAATGCATCCTTTTAATAATATTCTGTTCTGTGTTAAAAAAATAACTCCTAACAATTTTTGCAATTTCTCCTATATTCATTTTGCTGCTTGTCTGTTGTCTAATATTATTGTGGTGTAAACATGAAAATATAGATACCTCTGCCTTTGATGAAAATAGCTTGATAATAATCTATGTCTTGTTTTTTCTTTAAATGCTAAGCCAATAACTTCAAAAAAGGCATTAAAGCTGATTTTTGTTCTGATTGGCAAATACCATTGCAATTGGATAGTAAACAGCCAAAGTTGCAGCTGTGCTTAGCCAGTTAACCTTAAATGCCATAGCAGTGCATCAGAATGAACAGTATATTCATGCTTGAAACTACATGTAAACAATTTGTCTTGTGCTGCTTCAGCCATGGTTTGCTTTGTTAAGTTTAGCATGCTACTTCAATAGCATGGAATGGTTTGTGCCTTTTCTTTGCTGTTTTAGTTGACTTAAAAACGTTATGCTCTTAGACCGGTTTTGCTATGAGTGAGAGGTTTTACTCTTTTACTTCTTGGATTATCTGTGCCACTTCAAATTTCATGTAGATCACTCTTGAAGAAGGTTTCTCAACTTTGGCCGCTTGAAGATGTATGAAGATTCCATGATAACCGGAGAATTCTGGGAGTTGAAGTCCACACCTCTTCAAGTGGCTGAAATTGAGAAACATTGCTCTTGAAACAATTGAAATGAGAATGCCTTCCAATTCGTTCTTTAAAAATTCAAGTAGGACCATTTGTTTCAGAAAAGAAAGTATTCTGTTCTCTCCCATATTATTGATTCAGTCTTGCTTCATTATCAAATATATTTAGTAGAGTGGAATGGATTGAAGTATTAAAACACATTAGCAACAGAAATCCCTAAAGGGTGTATGAATATTGAACAAACACTCAGAACCCAAATCCTATTCAACTTTTTTTTTTTAAAAAAAAAATCACTTAATTTGATATAAAGCTCCCAAACACTTGTGCTTAGGTTTTCAGCCTTGGAAGAGCTTCAGCTATTCCTCCCCTCCCCAAATTGTATTATATATATACTGAATAGCACTTTACATACATTATGGAACTGAAGGAGCTATATATATATATATATATANGATGTCAAATTTGATTTCATTGAGGGCTGCATCAGCATTATGTTTGACAGCGGTGGGGTGTGGCTTGGGGCGTGGCCAGCTCAATGTCACTCATGTTGGGGGCACCTGCTTTGGTCCGACTTCTACCAGCGAAAATGGGTTCCCATTTTTGACAGCTCCGTTTTCAGCTGCAATGACCATCTGCAATTCTCTGCCTGCGAAATGGAGTTCAGAAGGGCCACACGCAGCCCTCCTGTGCTCCATTTTCACTGGTAGAGGCACCACACACCAGTTTTTCACTGTTTCCAGAGCAGCCCTGCGGGCCAGATCTAACCAACCCGCAGGCAGGATCCAGCCCCTGGGCCTTGAGTTTGGCATTCTCGGCTTAGATCTCTATGCAGTTTTATTTTACAATTAAAAGGGGTTTCTCCTAAATAATTACCTGTAATTCATCTTACATTTATTGAGAATAGAAGATCCCCTGTTTAAAGTGAAGGAATAATTAGGAGCTGCATGTTATGAAAACAAGTGCCTGAAAACAGGAGAAGCTACTAGCATTGTTTCAAGTTCAATGAAGATGAATATACTAAGCTCTGCTCTCTTATTACCTTCCACATGTAGAAAGTGAATGTTAGCAATGGATATTTTTATTTACTTATGAAACTTCTCATGAATGAAAACAGAATCCTTAACTGAATATTCTTGTAATCCATTATTAGACATTTATTCTTTTTTACCCATGGAGGGAAAAGAAAAGAGAATTGATTAACATATGAATGGGACAGGACTGACATGTTACGGATTCTTACATCCAAACTAAAAACTTCAAATTGATTGAGATTTAGCTACAGAGTAAGCATACATAGAAGATTGCAGTTCAATGAACCAAAGATTATTTGGCTTACCCAGTGTAAGCTGCTCTAACTAAATCCATCTTTGGTACTGCAGTAGTCTAGGCATATTTGCTTGGCAGCATTAACTATTAAAAGTCTTATGCTTACTCAACCCAGAGTTTTATTAATTCTTTGTGAGTGAGTCATTAGTTTGTTTATGAAAATACGATTTCTATATAGAAGCTTACTTAATTTCACTGATGCAAGTGCCTTATTTTATTTGCAGAGAATTTTAATCAATAGTCCTGATTTCTTTTTTCTGGCCTTGCCTAGTTTTGACTGTGGCTCTGGTCAGTGTATATATACGGGTAACACACACAGTTATATATATATATACATATGTGCCCCTTATATAAATGGATAACATGTATGCACTTTTTTTTGGAGACAAAATCTCCAGAATTGATTTCAGTAAACATAGTTGACCATGTAAGGTTTTGGTCTGTATTTGTAAAGTTTTTTCCTATCTAACGCTGCTTTTGTTGGAGGATTTTCTTACATTTTGTGTCATCTTTTCAAGTAAATAACTGCACATGTTACAATCTTTGCCTACATTTACAGATGAGGAAGGATTTTGAATGTCTTAAGCAGAAGCAAGAAGAGGGATTTTTTGTGCAGAATCAACCGTTGGAAAATTGTCAGAAGGAAGCAACGATGGAGCTTCTCAAAGTGAAGGACAGAGCTATAGATCTAGAAAGGAATGTAAGATGTCAGCTATGTGTGTTTATTTCTATTTTAGGTTACAAACAATTCACGTATTTTAATTCATTCTTGGGTTATATTTGAACATGTCTATGTACCAATTGAGTAGTGTCTGCCTACTCCTCCATGCATCTGCGGTTCTGAACTTATTTTGTGCTAAACTGCAATAAATACACATTTTTATGTAACATTTCAGAAGCGTATTTTAACATATGAAGCATCCCTATGAATAATACTTAACATTATTTTCTTTAATGTGTTTCACCATTCTAAACATTTAACCTTTCTTTCAAGTTGGTGAAATAAGTTGCCTAAATAAAAAGGGCAGAGAAGATCTTTCTTCCTTTCATTGGGTGGTAGCATTTTTCATAATGATTGGATTGAAAAGAACTTTGCAGAGGATGCTGGACCACTTTTATGGTGACTGTTTGTTCAAAAAGAGAAATGGACAATTCTGTACAGCTTCACTGCTTCACGTTACCTGAAAACAAGTATGACAGTTGTGAATGCAGTTGGTTTGTCAGCCAGTAGAACACAGGCATAACCAATACCCAACTTCTTGTGCAGATTGAAGGTGCTGCCAATTGGAAAACCACCGAATGAGAGATATTCTGTGGCACAAACATAACAACAGTTAACACTAAACATCTCCACCTCCCAGCAAAAACTTGGTAATTTCAGATCTTAAGGTAGATTTCAAAGAGAAGCTGGGCTGAGGGCAGGAACCACCATAAATCACTCAAATCTTCTAAGGAATGTAGGGATATTAAAAAGTCAATTCCTAGCTCACAATCTTCCATAGTAATTTCACAAAAAGAAAAAGAAAGAAAAAAATATAGGCAAGTGAAACAGGTCTCAGTGGCAGATAGACAGGAGCATATGGGTTTCTTCTTGGCTGAATTGGACTTCCTGAGATTGTGGTGTGGCATTCCTATGACTTTTTATTCCCTCACTAGTGTCACCAGAATGATTCCTCTATTGCTCTGCTGTCTTAGAGCAATTAACCATTGTAAGCCCAATATACTTTCTAGTTGAACTACCTGGGACTTCTCAGGAAACAACTGAATGAAAACTGCTGGTGACCTTCTATCACTGCACTATAGAGAGTATCTTAACTTACTGCACCTGTGTATAGTTTGTTAATTACACAGTGGCAGGTAGGACAATGTTCCAGAGGGTTAACATCATTTCCCAGAGGATCATTGGTTGCCCCCTCCCCTGCTTGGAAGAGCTTTATAGCTCCCGCTGCCTTAAGAAAGTTTGAAACATTCTTAAAGATCCATCTCAGTCTGGATACCATTTTTTTTTAACTATTGCCATCTGGCAGATGGTACAAGACAATAAAAACAAGGACAAATAGGCTGAAAAACAGCTTCTATCCCAGAGCAGTAACTATGTTGGATTCTACTGTATAGTGCACTACTAATGCAGTATCGGGGTTTTCAATTCAATTGTGTAGAATGTGAAGGATGTGTGTTTTTATTGTACTTGTTTTATGATGTTCACTGAAGATGGCATTTAATTTTGTTGTACAAGGTGCAATGACAATAAAGCAAACTTAACTTAGTTCTGGGAAAAGAAAGCAAATACCGCAGTACTTTCTGCCCTCAATGATATAGCAGTTATATATAACAGTTGATCTCAGACTGTGAGGATTTTATTTCTCCTGCTTTATCAGTTATTTTCTCTCTCTTCAGAATGCAGCCCTGCAAACAGGGATACAGCTTCATAAGGAGCAACTAGCACGTTTGGAAGTGCAGAATAGCTCCCTCAATAGCCAGATCCTGACTCTACAAAAGCAAAATGCTTTCCTTCAAGAGCATAATACTGCAATGCAAACACAAACAGCTAAACTCCAGGTCAGAAGAAATGTGTCTAAAAATTTCTAGATAGTTTGTTTTAGAGGAAGCAGAAAATAACTATTTTATATTGTTAATGCAAATTACTTTTAATGTCAGTGTGATGTATCTTCCTTTCCCAACCTGCAAAATAATACATTGAGTATTCTACTTTTTGAGAAAATTGGAAAATGTTTGGATTTGATGTATTAAAACACTTTATTTTGCTTTTTCTAAGATGAAAAAAAACAAAGACGAGGCAAAAAGAAGTAAAAAACAAAAAAACAGATAAAAAGGAAGGGAAATTGCATTTAAAATTACCTTTCACTAAATGGAGTTTGTGGATGTTCTGATTAAATTCCATACAATGTGGTTCTAATAGTGGGAAGTAAGCCAGTTGTGATAAGAAAATTCTTAAAGAGATAGAGCAGAGAGAGGTATGGTAGGAAAGAGGGAGCAAGAAGCATATGTTTTAATAGACAACTTCAGATTGGATCGCTCTTTGTAATAGTAGATTTGTCATTTTCTTTGGGAAACTATAGGTGGAGAATTCAACCCTGAATTCCCAGAGTACATCCTTGATGACCCAGAATACCTTACTCCAGAATCAGCAGCTGGCCAAGGAGCATGAAAATGACAACCTGCTGAAGCAGAAAGAGCAACTCAAAGCAGAATATGAGTCGCTTCTTCAGGATCATGAACACCTCGTGTTGCTGCACGAAAGGCAGTCTACAGAATATGAAGCACTAATCAAACAGCACAGCAACCTAAAAAGTTTGCACAAAAATCTTGACTTGGAGCACAAAGATCTAGGGGAAAGGTACAGGGTTTTACTTCATAGTAGAAGTTTTTCTCTAGCTAAAGCGGCAGATGGAGAGAAGATTATCATATAGTGATAATCATATGATCTTTAGTATCCTTATGGCCAATGATGTTTAGATGATGTCCCTAAAGTATAAGTTATTAAGTACATATTTTAATAAAGTATCAGTATTGAGCCCTTATTTGTTAAATTGGATTTGTTTAAAAATTTCATATAGCCCTCACTATATTTATCATGTATATACTCAAATTTGATTTATTATATACATATAATAGACAACATTCAATAGTTCATGTTCTGTTGATTTGAATGGGAACAAATGAAACATGCTTAAAAATATTTAACTTTGGGTGAAATAGTGTGGAAGAACAACAGAATAAAGATTATTGCTAAAGAGAAATCTTGTTTAAGCTTTCTATGCTGATCCTATTCATTCAAAATAATTGGTATTGTCCCCTCTTGGGTTGAATTGGATTAGTTTGAAAATTTTATAGAGGTTTTATAATGTGTTTTAAGGCAAAATTGCACCTACATATTTGTTTCATACAGATACAGCAGTTTAATAGAACACAAAACAGAACTGGAAGAGATGGAGATGATTTTAAAGACAGAAAAGGATGTTTTACAACAGGAGAAGAGAACAAGTACAATAATGATTGCAGAGAACCAAAAGCTTAGAGAAGAAATAGAAAGGTATCTGTTTTCAGAAATGATGCAGACTATTAATATATATTAATGGGATAATTTGGTTGATTCATATCAATTAGAAATGTATACAAATGACTGCCTATTAGTTGCGTATCCTTAACATTTATGCTACAGTGGCTGTACTTGCTCACAATAACTTACCTAGGTATGAGGAGAATGTTATTTTATATTACCGTATTTTTCAGAGTATAAGACGCACCAGACTATAAAACTCACCAAGATTTTGAAGAGGCAAATAAAAAAAAGTTTTTGCACTCTGCAGACCTCCCAAAAATGGCCCGTGGAAAACGGGCCATTTTTTTGTAAAAAAAGGGCATGAATAGCCTTTAGGAGGCTTATAGAGTTTTCTTGGGGCCTGGGGGACAAAATTGAGCAAAAAGTGGCCCATTTTTTGCTCATTTTTGCCTTCCCCAGCCCCCAGGAGCATACTGAAAGCTTCCTAGAGGCTATGCACGGCCATTTTGGTGAAGGGGCGGGGTTTGGGGAGGCAAATTGTATTCAGCTGCACCCACATTTTCAGCCTCTTTTTTGAGGGAAAAGGTGCATCTTATATTCTGAAAAATACGATAATTCCTTAACTGCCTAGTTCTAAAAAGTCTTGAACACAACTGTGCTTTCCCAGTTGTGGAAAATGGCCTTCTACTAGACAATCTTTAGGCTGTGGAATTTTCACCTAAACATGCCAACTCCTTAGAAAATGGCAAAAGCCCATCTCTTTTACAAATCTTTTGTTAGTTGAATTGATCTTGATTTTAATCATACTGATTTTAATTTTGCAAGGATTTTAATTACATTAGTTCTGTTATGTTTTATCATTTGCATTTTTAATTCCTGCAAGTGACTTAGAAATTAGGAAAGTTCTAAGCAATATTAAATATTGTAGGACTAAAGAATTACAAACTTAATGAAATTTGCATAATAGAATCCCAATATTGTGAAACATATTTTACTGGATGTGCATATTTGCAGCAAGACATTGTCCCTCAAACAGTGGACTAAGTTGATTGTATTGAAAGTAGTCAGGTGTTTGGTTTATAATTTAATTATTTCTGACAATTTATGTCATTGGAATATTAATGTATTTGGGCAATGATCCCATTGCACAACTTTATGTTGTTGCAAATTTTACATCAGTTTGTATTGTGATACAAAAGAGTAATTTGGTTCTAACATATTTGGAAGTAACAGAAACTCCCACCCATATAACTTCTCTTAAGGTCTAGTATAGTATTTAGTTTTAAGCCCTCAAATAACAGCAATAGTATTTCTCAATAGGAAAAGATATAACCAAGGAGCTTAGTCTAGTAAAATAAAGGATGTAAAGCCATAACAAGCAAGTCTTACTACAGAATTTTGTCAACCTTTCATATTGTTACTTTAATATTAAGTAATAGGATATTAAGAAATTGAATAGGATATTCAAGTTTTGGGAATATAAATATATCTGTGTAGTAAAAACAATGGATTAAACCAAAGTTTTAGTTCTTGACCTTGTTAAGATTTAAATTCTACAAAAGTCAAAAGTAATTGCTGCTGTGCATTTGAATGAGAGTGTTTTGGTTTTTTATTTGAGGATGAATATGTCACACATCAAACTTAAAGCTGAGTATGAAGGGCTTCATAGTCACACTAAGGAGCTGAAAACATCCTTGAATAATTCTCAACTAGAGCTGAACCGTTGGCAAGCTCGTTATGATGAACTGAAGGAACAGCACCAGAATATGGACATCACCTTAACTAAACTGGACAACCACTGTGAGGTGAGTGCTATGTGTTATGAAAGTACAAAAATTTTACACCTCTGGGAAATATCACTGCAATTCAACAGATGTAGTATGCATAATCTGTTAGAACTGATTTATTCTTAAAACCATGGGTTAGGATTGGAATTCATGTTCAATCCTAAAAAAATGAATTGGGAGAAAAAGAGACCTTTAAAGCTCAGTAACAGTAGGGAGAAATTTTTTTCTAACCCTCCTTTTACCCCGTCCTAGAATTGGTTTTTACTTTTTCTAGGCTAGCAAAAGAGGAGAATAAAAATTCAACCCCATACAGATAGTTCTTGACTTACAAGTGGGACTGTAATCTTGGTCACTGAGCAAAGTGGTACTTCACTGCTGCTTGACCCTAAATCTAGCACTCCTGGTTGTGGGCATTAAATGATCTTACAGGTTATTAAGCAGACAGAGTTCCAGAGAAGGTGTGTGGGGTACCTCAGGAGGCAGGAAGGAGACCCTGAGAGGCTCTAGAGCTGAAAATCTTCCCTGCTCAACTCCAAGCAGGATTTTCATCCCCCAAGCAGAGAGGTATCTATGCATGGACTGATCCTGGTCTCCCCTGAAGCATCCTACACTCTTTTCCTTATCATGCTCCTTGCTTGGATTTCAGCTTCCTCTCATCTCTGAGACTAGCTGAAAGAACTGTTTGCCAAAACAGGGCAACTTGCTCTATGAATGGAAAAGAACTCCTTCAGCAGTTCACATGTTCAAGATTTGAGTTCTGCTTCTGCCCCTCACTAAAGGTGGGGTCAAGCTCCTGTCCATGGATGGAAAGGAACTCTTTCAGTGGGGCACAGAAACAGATCTTGATTCTGTATCCTTCCAAAGGAATTCAGCTCTCCTTGACAAGCAGCTCTTTTAACCAGCCCTCCCAGAGAGGAGGAGGAGCTTGCAAACTTCTCGGCAGCTTGCAAACTTCCCTGATGCCTTCCACATTGACTTTTAGGGGAAGCTGGCGGAGAAGATTGCAAGTGACAATTACATTGTTGCAGGGTATTGACAACTGGTTATAAGTGTGAACAGATTGCCAAGTACCCAGATCGCCATCATGTGACCACATTTGTGGTGGTACAACATTTTGCAACCCTTTCTGAGCTGTTGCAATTCCGAACTCTTGTAAGTCAAGGACTATATGTAATATCCTTTAAAATTCTCCCTGAGTGCTTTTAGTATTGATTATGTCTAATTTTGCTAAGTGCTAATTGTGTATTTTAAGTGCTGGTGATTGCATTATGAAGTATATATTTGTGTATCTTAAGTGCTGGTGGTTGCATTATGACTGCTAGTACTGAAGTTCAAAGAACTGCTTACTGAGCAGAGATTTTTCATAAATAAAAGTCTTCTCTTTGGTTGCTTTGCAACATGTGGACAAATGTGTGCAGAAAACCTCATCCATGGTATGTCTGTTAAATAGCTGCTTGGTCGACTAAAAGGAAACTTGGAAGAAGAGAATCATCATCTTCTCAGTCAAATCCAACTATTAAGTCATCAGAATCAAATGTTGCTGGAACAGAACATGGAGAATAAAGAACAATACCACGAGGAACAAAAGCAATATATGTAAGAGAAGCAATCCTTTTGCCTACTGGTCTTGGCCTATGACCGTGATGGCGAACCTATGGCACGCGCGTCAGAGGTGGCATGCAGAGCCCACTCTGTGGGCACGTGCGTCATCGCCAATTGCGCTTCATGCACGCTGGCCAGCTGGTTTTCATGGCCTAAAAACAGCCCCCAAAATGGCAATTTTCCAGGCTGGTTTTGGGCCTTTGGGGGTTGTTTTTGGGGGGCCTGCAAAACAGCTGGAAAATGGCCTGAAAAGCAGCCAAAAATGCCTGAAAAACAGCCTGAAAAACAGCCAAAAAACAAGCATGCGCGCTCCAGCCAGCTGGTATTCGGGTTTCTGGCGCTTCAGCATGCACAAATGCACACGTTTCAGTTTGGGAACTCGGTGCCGAAAAGGTTCGCCATCATTGGCCTATGTGATTAATATTATGTCACAGGGATGCGGGAGTAGGACAACTTTTTAAAAGAGATCATTGAGGGCTGCCAAAAAGCAATTCTCTACAACTAAAATGTAAGCATACAGTTCATTGTGTACGTTTTAATCTGATGTTTGAGTATGAAAATAGGCGCAAGTCATTGGACTTGTTAAATGAAATGGTGACTGGGAGTAAAGAAGGTTTACTCCCAGTCACCATTGTTGTTAGCACCAATAATGCATGATGATGTTGTCATATATGAGCTTTGATGTATAATTTCTGCTAGGTTGAAGTCATACCACAGTGTATTGTAATACTTATCATTCTTTATCTCAGCAAGCAATGATACCAGGTTCTTTGTGATTGGTTACTAGGTAGGTAGGTGAGGGGAGAGAGGGAGGGAGAGAAAGAAAGAGACAGACAGACAGACAGAAACAATCCTATTTATAGGTATATTTCTCAGACAATATTTGTGTTTAAATTAGATATGGCCTGAGAAGGATTTTTTTATGTTGCTATCAGGGATACTGACTTCTTTTCCTGGAAAAATATTATAGTTCAATTTTAGCATTGTAATGTTTCCTCAGCAAATAACTATACATTTTTAATTTTCTCTTCATTATATATTTTTTTTAACAGTGATAAATTAAATGACTTAAGGAGACACAAAGAAAAATTGGAAGAGAAAATAATGGATCAATACAGGTTTTATGATCCAACCCCAAAAAAGTAAGTTTTATATAGGAAAGCATGTCTTATTAATTATCACATCCAAATGAATTCATAAGATACAAGCCAGAGATGGGTTCCTACCAGTTCACACCGGTTTGGTGGAAGCGGTATTGGAAATGGCAACTGGGTCTCCGAACCGGTAGAGACGGCATGCTCGTCATGCCCGATCACCGCAACATCTTTTTTTGACCTTTTAAAATGTTCTGCGCATGTGCAGACCTATTTATAGGCAAAATTACATGCACACCGAACCAGCAGTAATGCTGGCAGAAACCACCCCTGGTACAAGCTGTACTTCACTCATCACACTTTGACTTAATAAATTTACATATGAATAAACCATGGTGCCCTTTCTGTAAGTGAAAACATGAGGAAACCTTCCCTTAGCTGGAGGCTTCTGTTTTAGAAAAAAATGATAGATAGTAGACAGTACATTGAATCAGTACTGCAAATTATACATCAAATGAAGATATGATTTTTAAAACCCCAATTTTGGATGTGGCACAATTGCATGTATAAAAATGGTTTCCAATTAGAGTTAAATTCTGCATTGGATTTTCTTTTTAAATACAAAATTAATCTAAGCATCGAAGCTTGCTCACACAGTTTAGTTAACCATACTAAGAGGAAATTAAAGATATTTTCCAATAAAAGACATAAAATCCTTGCAGCCATTAACATACACAATACTAACTCAGTATATTTTGAAGATATATTTGGTTTTAGTGCAATTTAAAGCCGAATATTTCTAGCTCAGTGTTGAAATTAGGGTCGTTGGTGCTCTCTGAGCTTGGTTGTTTTCTTGCACATGTTTCATTACCCAAGTTAGGTATATTTTCTACCAAAAAGTTTTTAAATAGATCTTTTATATGACCACCCCATTTTATGGCCATAATAAAAAAAAGCTCCTTTATAAGCAACAGAATTCAGAAATGTTCCATTTATATCACTTGTTTTAAGTCATAATTAATTAATCTTACTGACTTTCTTGCTGTAGAGTAGCAGTCCCCAACCTTTTTGTGGCTCTGTGGACCGGCCGCAGTAGTGGGGGGGGGATGGTTTTGCATGTACCTGCTGCTGGTGCAAATGGAGCTTTGTATGCTTGCCTACCGCTTGCACCGCCCGGGGGTTGGGGATCCCTGTCGTAGAGAATGAGAAAATTAAATGAAATAATTATTGTTTAAAATATAAGAGGAAAAATACTGCTGTCCTATTAAAAATTTCCAATAATAGGAAAAACCACTGGATAGGAGCTAAAGCCTTGGTTAAATTCATGAAGGCAAAGAAAGAGCCAACGAGAGAACGAATGAAATCTTCAGCAGATAGTTCTCCATCTCAGTTAGAAAGCATGGAGACAGCGGAGTCACAAACTCCATCACAGCTACCCAAGCAACAGAAGAGTCTGGAAACTACTTCCAAAGATTTCAGCTTCGTGGAAGACAAAGAGCATAAAGCAGGACCCATGGTCAAAGGTAGGCATTTCATTTCGTTGGAGAGTGAATTAGCTTTGTAGCACCGTTCTGATTAGTTTTTGCTGACAATATTTTGTTAATCAAGAACATGTTGCGTTTGTAATCCAATTAATAATCACGTCTGTTTGGCACTGATATCTTTTAGGCCTTTTAACAAAATGTGATTAGGTATATAAGTGAAAGAGCTAGCCATAAGTATAGACTTATGGATGGAAACTAATCAAGGAGAGAAGCAGCTAGAACTAAGGAGAAATTTTCTGACAGAACAATTAAATCAGTGGAACAACATGCCTACAGCAGTTGTGAATGCTCCAACACTAGAAGTTTTAAGAGAAGATTGGACAACCATTTGTCTGAAATGGTATATGGTTTCCTGCCTGATCAGGTGGTTGGATTAGAAGACCTCCAAGGTGCCTTCCAACTCTGTTATTCTATTAAGGTGTTTTCCCTTTCCCTTCATTTATTTAGACCAGTGTTTCTCAACCTTGGTCACCTGAAGATGCATGGACTTCAACTCCCAGAGCAGAGCTGGCTAGGGAATTCTGGGAGTTGAAGTCCATGCATCTTCAGGTGACCAAGGTCGAGAAACACTGATTTAGACAGTTGGACTAGGGCAAAGTTGTTGATACCAATCTTGTGCAAATAAAGAAATATTGGCATAGGGTTCCTTGTCAGCTTCAGGTCCAAGCTTGCCACTCTGGAATTAATTCTGAAAATTAAGCAAGCGTTTCTTTCACAAAGACAAATATGTTTGTTTGTTTTTGCAATGCATGCTTATTTTTTTAAGTACAAAGTGCATCATAATTCTCAGCAACAAACAGGACTTTTTTTAATGATGAGTCTCTTGCCTTTAGAGCCCTCTGTATCCTGAAGATTTATTTTTATTATGGTATCATAGATTTACCAAGTTGTTTTTGTTGTTTTGTATATTATTTTTGTGTTCTTTTAAGATTGTAGTGCTGTTCTTAGAATTGTATTTTAATTTTCTGTTTATTTTATCAGTCATGTAGCGCTCTTATAACTAAACTATAACTGAAGCATTGCACTTTTGTTATATGCCATAATGTACGTGCTAATTCTATGTGTTTATCAAATGTTAGTTGCTTTACGCCACCTTAATAGTATAGGTGCATTCTGTTAATAAGATTGGTTTCTAATTGCATTAATGAGTGTTTTTTGCATTATGGAACTTTCCCACAAAGCAGAAACTTTCTGCAGAGTTTGTAACCCGCCTAATTTTTCTGCATTGAAAAGTGTCATCTGACTTGGTGACAGCAGAGGGAGCAAAGAGAAAAGAATCCGCAACACAGATCTAAATATGAAAAATGTGAAGAATCCTTAATAATATATGATATTTTCTTATGTTTTTTTATTGCATAATATGTTTTGGTAAAGAATTGAGTAGATTTTGTTGATAATAATTCATGGGTAATAATTGCTTCAATTCAAAAAATTTCTGGAATATACCTTCCTCTAATTCTTACATTGACTTAAGCACCACAAAACAAGGAAATTATGTTGATTATCCTAATACATGCCCTTGAACTGTAATGATATTGTACAGGTACTGTATTTTCCCCAAAATCTTATTTTCTTTTGACCCCCGAAATAAGCACTTGACCTTATTTTTGGGGAGGTCTTATTAATTTTGAGGTGCAGGAGGTGGCGAGTGTGGTCACCTCATGGTTGCTGCTGTATTGCAATATTTTCAGGGGAGGGCTTATTTTAGTGCATGCGCTCAAAAGCCCAATTGGCCTTATTATCCAGGAAGGTTTTATTTTCAGGAAAACAGGGTAGTCCTTGACTTACGA